CCAAAAGTGGAATTAAAGAACCTTCAGGGCAGTGATGGGATTCAGCCAGTTTGACAGAACCGTAGCTACTTTTTTGTTGCCCAGGCCCAGAATGGACTTCCAGAAGCAGCATCCATACAGAGAACCGGTTGTTCACATATTTGAATTCCACCACTGCTTCAGGGTGCCTATTTGAATGTTTCATGGCTAGTGGATTCATTGTGATCATAAAACAAAGTACAATGCAGCCCAGCTAGAACTCATATCTTGTAGAAAAAACTAGTGGGAATGGATGAATTACATTTTCAAAATGTTATAAAGTGGCCCTATTTATTTTATGTCTTTGAAAGTTTAGTATATTGACAGGACCACTGCATTTGTAGAAAGAAATATATCTTTCTTTGTATTTCTAGTAAGAGCCATGGTGGCACAGTGGTTAGAATGCAGTGTTGCAGGCTAACTCTGCTCATTGCCAGGAGTTTGATCCTGACTGGCTCAAGGTTGACTCAACCTTCCATCCTTCCAAGGTCAGTAAAAAGAGGACCCAGATTGTTGGGGGCAATATGCTGATTCTGTAAACCACTTTGAGAGGGCTGTAAAGCACTATGAAGCGGTATATAAGTCTAACTGCTATTGCTAGTTCCTTGAATGACCTGGTAAGAACACAACATTGTGCAACCACAAGATTCCCTAAGAAAGCACAGGGAAAGGAGGCTTGACTTTTCACAAAGCCCAGGATATTTTAAGCATCAAGATGTTTAAAAGGAAAGGGGGGGGGAATAAAAGATTTCTTGATCAGCTTCTGAAGTTTCAAAAGTAAGTGCCATCACTATCTGATCTAGCCAATATTTCTATTTTTTTAAATTTGAAACATTGCTGTATTCTTACAACAGGTAAGTTCTTATAACAACATATAAATGCAAACTTCACTTGAAGTCACTTGATCACACGTGAGTAACTCTATCAAAACAAGAACAATTTAAAAAAAGAAGAAATACTCCTTTCAAAGTGAAGGATTAATGTTAATATTGTTAATCTTTAATAAACTTTGTTGACCTCTCTGTCGCCTGCCACTAACTCAACAATTTCTTAGATGTGGATCATGATAGACTACAGAAACAGTTGTTGGATATTTATTTCTTTTGTTTATTTATTTATTAAATGTGTTTACTGCTCATCTCACCACAAGGCAACTCTGGATGGTTTACAACCTAAAAACATACATTTGAATATACTGATTATTTATGTATGCCTAAGCAGTTTCTAAACTTTAATTGCTCAGTTGTATGTCAGGTTTAAGTATTTCTAAATGTTTCCCCTAATCTAATTGCCTTTCAAATGAAAACCCCAGATTTCCCCATCTGTATGACCAAGGATAAAAAGCTGGTGACAAATGTAGTGAAATTTGATTTTTCTGGCTATGGTTATCAGGGTAACAGAAAAGTCAAACTTTTTCCTACATTTAAAGATGGATTATAATGATAATTTAACTATAATTCTATTAGATCCCTGGATGAGATAATCACTATTACAGGTAATCCTAACTTAACCATCACAACTGGGTCCAGCAATTCAATCATCAAGCAAAGCGGTCACTAAGTGAAACTACAACTGTGTTAATTTACTTCAGCTTTCCTTTGCTTTATAGATCTGTCAAGGTCATAGATGGGAGGATTAATAACAAAGTTATTTTTCATCACTGTCATAACTTTAAATGGTTACTCTACGAAGCAGACACTATAAAGGAGGACTACCTGTACATACAATCTCAAAACCATTTTTCTGAATTAAATTTAGCTTTTGTCCCATAGACTACTGCTCTTTCATACAATACGCTAAGCCATTATTGGGTTAACCATAATTTATTGAATAAAGAATTGACTGGGTTCATGTCGTATAAGCCAAAACAATACTAGATACAACATGGTCTAGTGCAAGGGTGAGTAATATATAAGAGGACAGGCTTACAGCTTGTATCTCTGAGAGAGTCATAAAATGCTATCTGATGATATTACCACATTATTAGAAGGAGCCAGAATTGGGGGAAAAACACAAAATTATTTTTTCTAAGACTCATAGTTGAGAATTGAAACAGAAGATCTCAAATCACATCCATTTGAATCTTTAAAAAAAATCAATATTGCCACTATGTGAGCAATATATTATCTATATTCCTGGAACCAAAACAAACACTTAAATAGAATAATCGCCAAAGAAATAAGGAGAAAGACATTTTTCTTTTATGTAAAGAATATTTTAAGGAATAGAGCCCATTTTGCTATGATTAAAGGGAGAAAAACCCAAGACACTTTGTGATAACATTACAAATTAATACAGAATATCAACCAATAGACAGCCATTTTGTCCTTTTCATAGAAGAACAAATTTGCATAAATCCATTATCATGTATAAAGATTTTACAGGGGATATGGAAGAGATAGGATAATACCCAATGATGTTTCTGTCTTAAGTCCTTTATTTTTTTAAATTCTGCCTGTCAGTCTTTATATGTACAAGTAATACATTACCTTACTAGCTGTAAGTTCAAGACAAGAAATTATTCCATTCTTTAATAACTCTTCACTGCACTCTTCCTTTTACCACGTATCAATTAAACAAATTCTACCATGTTAATTCTGCCATAGTAATTACACTCTTGTCAGATGGCTTTTAATGTAAATCACCTACCCTATAGTTTTTTTGTTGTTTTTTTTTTTTTTGCATAGTTCATTTGTAATCCAATACTGTGACACCCAGCATCTTCATTTCTGTAAAAAAATAGGAATGGACTGTCCCTTTTAGATGGAACAAAACCATGCTTTCTGTAGCATACTGAAGACTGAACTCTAAAAAGCAGATGGGAGAAGACCAAAACTGTTTTAGTTCAAATGCAATTGAAATATATTATTTAAAGAGTTAATAGTGAATGCTTAACTGTGTATTTCAGAATTTTCCTACTATTGCATTAAAAAATACAGTTTTTAGCAATAGGGCTCTGGAACCAACATTCAAGCCATAGACTGTGTACCTGTGTGTTTCAAAAAAAAAGTACACTAAAAGTGTGGAAAACTCCCTGCTCACCTTATTCACTCAACATGGTAAGACAGTGTGATTTATTTTAACACTATATACAAATGCAATCATTTTTTTATTTATCCAGCAAGCCACTGTTAAACAAAGGTTTAAGATGCCATATATACTGTAGATTGTAACATTTCAAAGCAGCCCAGAGAGTTACAGATGGAAGCAAAGCCATTATAGTTTTTTTCCTTTTTCTTACTAAACATTTGCCAACCATTTTCTCTTTGCTCAGATTAGCAGCAAAATACAAGGAAAAGGAACCTATGGCCTGATTTATTCCATATGGTGAATTACAATTTTTTTTTGAGCTTTGAAGTAGTACACCCCGTTAATTATGCTATTTTCTGTCAACCCTACCCTAAAAATCCAGAGTTTAGCCCAGTTTATGAAACAGGCCAAGGATTATTGTGTTCTAAAAGCACATCAGCAGACTTTTAACTTAACAAAATGTATTTTATGTATAGATGTAACATGGTTTTGTAACTTTTGGGATTTCAATTTAAGAACTAATTTAAGGAAAATTCCATTTAAGAGCAGAACCTTAGCCTGGAAAAGTTCTGTTCTTGAGCAATATTTTTGTATAACTAGAAATCTTTCCTTGAACAAGTGCTATTTAAGCCCATGGTACATGATGATGATAATGATCATGATGATAAATCTAGATTGTTTGAGTCTAAAATCTACCTAGAACTTCTGGTTGAGTCTGCAACAACAACTGCCAAGAATTCTGTTTTTTTCCTATATGTAATGTCATATTCTTCTCACTATCCAAATGAAAATTTCACTTATACTGACCTTCATAGGTAATTTTCCTGAAGATCACTCTCTCCCTAGTCAAACTATGACCATTATAAACTTTCTAAACAGAGAGATGATTACTTGAAAAAAGATATTCTCCCTATCAGGAGAAAATGATGGGTCTATTCAAGTAGCCTTTGAAGAAAACAAAAGCTGTACATCAGGACATCAAATCTTTCTATAATGTGAGATTGAAAAATGTGCCATGGAATGCATTATCATATACTACCTGGAATTACTGTATATGTTTTGCTTTGCAAAACTACCTTGATGCCAATCACCATCAAGGACGGCATTCAAATCTTGAGGTGGACTATTCAACTTTGCCCAGCTATTTCTTACATTTATGCTTTTCCTTTTTTTTTTTTTGTGCACACACACGTGTGTGCAGAGAAGACCATCAAAAGCAAGTAACTACTGGTTTTCTTTCTGAGTCACAACAAAGGGATGTATTTACTGGATTTGTGAGGCTACCTAATCATCAAATGATGGAAAGATGCTTCACTTGAACAACCCTTTGAGACTTTGCGCAGGTATATCATACACTTGCAGTTATGATAAAACAATCTCAATCAATAAGACTACATATACCCATCCCTGCTATGAGCCACTTGTGCAAAATTGGGAGCCATTTCCAGAAAGGAGATCTCTTGCACTAGCATTGTTAGATTCCTTTAGGGACAGAATCTGCTGAAGCAGTATGAGGAATAAACTTCCAGGCTTCTGTAAAGTGAAGGAGAAAAAAGCAGAGAGGAGAGCAGAGAGCAGTGATAAGAGCAGAGCTACTCTAGCTAAAAGACAAGAGGACATGAGATGCAGCTTTAGAAGAAGTTGCTCTTTTGAAATGCTTGAAGAAAAGAATTTGATGATGATCATGTGGAGGATGGGAGAATAATCCAACATCTTGAAACAAAACTATGCTACAGAAGCTAATTTAAGACTGGGATTGCCAGTCAGCAATAAAAAAAAAACCAAGCAGCCATTGCTAAAGTATATCTAATCAGTTTTGACCTTGGATTATTTAGGTAATTCAAGTATTGAGACCAGGTAGATGATAGAATAGCACCATAAATATCCTTGCAGTGGGAGAGGGGGTAATATAGCCATACAATTGGCATGCCACCCCTTTTTAATGCATAAAATAGAGTTTCAGTCACACACTTTTTTGCTCCTCCTGCATGGACAACCCTAACAGGTTTGGTTTTTTCCAATGAAGAAGATCCTTAGCTTAAATATTAGGAACTTTTATTTACTTCTGTTAGCCGTCTATAACACATCACAGCACTTTATATGTGAGGATGAGTGGGATTTTGGCAAGTGTAGTTAGCTGATTGCTTCCTTCTTCAATCAGCTGGGGACCCATCTAAACTTGTAGCCCCCAGTGGCTGTTCTAACAGTAAAAGCATTGCCTTGTGGAAAGGCCAGTGTCCTAATGTTACAGTGCTCTTTGATGGACGTCTTGAAGGACACCCCTTCCTCAAATTCACTACCACTTAAGTCCAGGGAACTCTGACTGCTGCATGTCTGCAATCCATGGAAAGCTCCATACATGTGAATGGCTTCGTTCTCTCCACGAGGACGCTTCGGGCCTCTGTCGTCATCAATGGACTGCAGGGCTGCATTGCATTTTTCTGATATTTCCCTTAAGATTTCATTCACTTCCATGTCCTCTTCATGCTCAGGAACTGACATCTGCTCAAGGCTTCTCTTGCCAGGGCCACAGCTGAGGGAAAGATCAGTGCTGTCTTTGCTCTGAGGGAGCATCATTTTCTGCAACAATCAAAAGTAGAAATGTTGGAAGACATTAGCTGCACGTCATTCTTGTTATTTTACACACACACACAACAGACTATATTGCTAAAATCCCTCATACACTAAAAACAAGCGGAAAATGATTTATTTGGTAAATAGTCACATTTGAATTTTTGTGGGGAAACTCATAAAATGGCTGCCTTGGGTGAGGGCTTGTCATTCACAAAATCAGCACATCGAGACAGAAAGCACCTATGATTCATTCTATATCTTCCCTATCCAATTAATCTTGTTTACTAGGCAGAACACATAATCACAAACCAAACAGTGGGCCATAACCATCCACCATTTGGTTTCTTTAAGAATATCTGTAAAGCAAATCAAAATGATGCTGGAGTATGGTGCCTCTGAAATAGACCAGATCAGGAAACAGACAGAATTATAGGGATGATATTTTATTGTTGTAGGATATATAATCATGAAAGCTACAAGAAACTTCATTCATTCATTCATTTTCTATTTATACAGCTGCCCATCTCACATATGACCCTTTGCTCATCTTATTCCAAATGGAATCTGTTGAGTCCGTGGCGGGAAAATAGACACGAGAAGCAGCTGGAGTTCTCAGTTTCTTTTATTCAGCGTTCAGCTTACAGGAAGATGGCTTCAGCCTCGCCCAAACACCTCGCAGCCTCTTATATAGGCAACTCCCGGGTAAATGGGTTACTTTTCCCGCGCCAGCACCCGCGCATGCGCACGGCGCTGGCGACAGCCTGTCTGGTCCCGGCAGCTTTGCACCTGCCCGGGACTGCCTGCAAACGCCCGAGCCGTTTGCAAGGCTCGGGACATAACACCCCTTTCCCCCGGGCTAAAACTACTACCAACAGACAACATTTATTTTATACGACAATTTGCTCCCCAGTGCTCCCACTGTTTACTGGCTTTTGCCTTGCCGGCAATGTTATGTAATCTTCTAGGTACTTAGGAGATTTCTTTGCTCTCTGTGACCTTCTTAGCTCTGGGTTACTGGCATAAGTTCCCTGACTGGAGGGAGGAGTGAGCCTGTTCTCTCTATTGTGCCCTGGTGTCTTCCAAGGACTGTGCCCCGATGCCTGGCCTGCTTGCTTGCCCACCGGGCTCGTCAGGCCAGGGCTTCTGTTGCTTTGTGACCTGGTTGTCCTACCTAGCTGTAGACCCTCAGGCCCCTTGAAGTGATAGCCACTGCTGGGCGTCTCTGGAGAACCTCCTAGGTCAGTCCAAGACCTGTCAGGAGGCTGTCCATTCCCTGAACCCCATTCTGTGCTCGGGCTCGTGTGGGTTTCTGTACTTTCCCAAAACTCAGGTGTTCCCTGATTTGTGCTAGGGCTGTTGTAGTCGGGACTTGGCTCCTCGACTAGCTCTGTGTATGTTTGACCCCCTGTAGGATTTGGGGTAAGGTCAGGCCAACCTTGGGAATTGTGTGCCCGCTCTCTTGCAGGGAATGATTTGTTGGGATGCCCCCGGGTATCCTCCGTTGCTGGAGTGCTGTGTGATGTGTGTGGAAAGTGAGTATGCCCCCGGGGTGACTCCCTGGCTGGAGGAGGCGTGAGTGCCTGTTGTGTGGGTAAGCTCCATGACTTTCTTTTCGGAGCAATTGCAGAACCTTGGGACGAGCCGTTTGTGGCTCCCTCAGTGGAGGTGGGCAGTCGCTCTTGCCCTTCCCTTTGCTCCAAAGGGTCCCCCTCCCCCCCTGGAAAAGACCCAGGAGTCTCAGCAGAAAAGTCTCGCCTAGGGCGAAGTTGGTCGAGGTGCCGACGCAGGACACGACCGTTGTCCAGGGCAACCTCGTAGGAGAGAGGGCCTGTGATCCTGGACACAGAAGCGGGGACCCATGTATGACCAGGCCCGTAATTGCGAGCCCAAACCGGGGCACCCACAAGTAGTTGTCTGGGTGCCCTAGGATGTGAGGTAGATGAAGGCATTCTGTCCGGATGCAACCGGTCAAGTCTAGTAGTAAGTTGGCGCCCCCAGCGAAGTTCAGCTGGACTTCTCCCTGTAGAAGTGGACGGTGTGGTGCGATAAGAAAGGAGAAAGTCAGCCAACCTGTGATGCCAGTCCCCGTAGGTGAGTCTCTTCAAGGCGTCCTTTGAGATGCGCACCATGCATTCAGCCATACCGTTGGTGGACGGGGGAAAAGGCGCAGACGTGGCATGACGAATCAGGTTTGCCTGTAAGAAAGCTTGGAATTCGGAGGAGGTGAATTGAGGGCCGTTGTCGGACACAATGACATCTGGCAGCCCGTGTGCAGCAAAAATCCCCCTCAGTACCTGAATATTCTTTGCAGTGGTGGTGGATGAGACAGGCACAACCTCAAGCCATTTTGAATGGCTGTCAACAAGGACCAAGAAGAACTGGCCCTGAAAGGGCCCAGCGTAGTCAATGTGCACCCTAGACCAGGGGGACTGTGTTTCCTCCCATCTATGCACAGGAGCTTGGGGCATCTCTGGGCGAGATCGTTGGCACAGGTGGCATGCGTGTACCGTAGCCTCAATACCTTTATCTAAACCAGGCCACCACAAGTGGCTTCATGCAAGAGCCTTCATACGAACAATGCCAGGATGACCCTCGTGGAGGGATTCTAAGACTCGTTGAAATGTGCAAGAACACTGTTAGAAGTGAGCAAGGCCTTGACTTCTTTAAAGCAAGCCTCATGTGCTTGTGACCACAGCCACACAGCTTGTTTGTCTAGTAGCCTGTGAAGAGGCTCAGCTACACTAGCTTTATGTGGAAGAAAAGAATTGTAGAAATTCAGGAGGCCTAAGAAGGCCTGAAGTTCGGCCTTAGACGTTGGCCTGGGTGCTTCTAAAATAGCAGTTAGTTTGGATTCAGCAGGATGAATCCCAGCAGCATCGATTTTGAATCCCAGAAATTCAGTAGAAGGCACCCCAATCTTGCATTTGTCTTTTCTGAACTTGAGGCCTGATTTCCTGAATCTTAACAGGACAGCCCTAAGCCTTTCAGCTAGAATGTGTGTGGAGTCTCCTGCAATAAAGACATCGTCAAAGTAGGGGCAGACCCCTGGTATACCTCGTAGTGTGTTTTCCATTACGCTTTGGAAAATCCCAGGAGCGACATTCACTCCAAACTGTATCCTTTTTACCTTAAAGGCTCCCCTGTGGGTCACAATGGTCTGAGCTATAGCAGCATCATCATCAACAGGCAGCTGTTGATATGCTTGAGCTAGGTCAAGCTTTGCAAAACCACGCCCCCCCTTGAGAGAGGCCAGGATGTGACTGACCACAGGAACAGGATAGGCATGTTGCTGCAATGCCTTATTTAGTGTGCATTTGTAATCAGCACAAATACGAATGTCCCCATTTGCCTTTAGAGGCGTGACAATGGGGGTCTCCCACGGGCTGGAATCAACAGGTTCTAGGATTCCCTGTTGGATTAGTTTGTCTAATTCAGTGTCAATCTTACTTTTTAAAGCAAAGGGGACCCTTCTTGCTTTAATCCTAATGGGAGTGACAGTGGGGTCTAGCTTTAAGGACACAGGTGGTCCTTTGAATGTGCCCAGCTGGGGGCTGAAAACATCTGCAAATTCTTTGCAGACTTCCTGTAGGTCGAGTGTTTGTAAGCTGTTGAGTCCTGTGACGTGTATCCCCAGGGCCTCAAACCAATCGAGTCCTATGAGACTCGTTCGTTCAACCCCTACTACTAATAAGTCTAGTGGACCTTCAAAACTCTTGTATTGCACGTTAAGGGTGGCCTCCCCCTTAACACACACTCTTGAGTTCTGAAAATCTGTTAATACAATATCAGAAGGCCGTAACTTGGCCTTAGTCCCACTACTGGAACAAATCTTCCTAAATGTATGCAATGAAATGATGGAAAGGGCAGACCCTGTGTCTAGTTCCATAGATAATGGAACCCCTTGTAGCTTCACGTTGAGTGACAGCTTGTTCTTCATGGGCTTGTGTGTGCCTGTCCTACAGATGCTTCTTCGCGAAGCGCAAAAACCTACCCTATTCTGGCTGGGGAGTCTGGTACCCTTCAGGCGTTCTTCTTGGGGTTGTGCCTTTCGTCGGGCCAGACACACAGCTGCAATGTGCCCTTGTTTGCTGCATGCCCGGCAGGTAGCGGAGCGGAACTTGCAGTCGGTTCTCCTGTGGCGACCTCCACAGCCGATGCACTTGAGCGGAGCCGAAGAGCTTCCCTTCTGGTTTCCTTCCTTCGCGGGGTGTAGACAGTCGACTTCCTCGTCCGGATCCTCCTCGGAGTTTCGTTGGACGTCTTCCTGGTGCACGGACGCACCCTCTGCACTGCTTCTGATCGGCCGCATGTTCTTGACGGCGCCACCTGCTGTTTCTTCTGCGGTGACTTCCCTTAAGGCGTCTTGGAAGGATAATTCTTCCTTAGCGAAAAGTCTCTGTTGTAGCTCTCGATGCCTTAACCCGCACACGAATCGGTCCCTCAGTCGTTCCTTGAGGTCCTTGAACTCGCAGGGCTTGGCGGCCTTCCGTAACGCGGCGATGTATTCCTTGGCTGACTCACCGGACCATTGATCCCTCTGTTCGAAGGTGTGGCGCCATGAGATAACGGACACCTTGGGGTGGAAGTGCTCTTTCAGCAGCTTCTTCAGGTCTGCGTAGCTTACAGACTCTACTGGGACAGGTGCTGCAAGGTTTTCTGCGATTTCGAAGGCGTCTTGGCCGCAAACGCAAAGCAGGATGGCCGCCTTCAAGCTATCTTCCCTCACTTGGTTTGCCTTGAAGTAGTTCTCCATTCTGGATACGTAGGACTCCCACCGCTCTGGATGTGAGACGTCGAATTCCGAAAGCCTTCTGATTTTCGCCATCTTCGGATCTTCAGGAGACGGGTCTATCAGCCAGCCTACCCCCGAATGCGCACCAGATTGGCGGGCAGCTGCCGAGTCGACGCCGTTCCTCTTCCGCCGCTCAGGACTCCTTGGGTAAGCTTACACTTTTTCCTTTCCAGGTAGTGCAAGGCATCCCACCCTCGTCGCCAGTGTTGAGTCCGTGGCGGGAAAACAGACACGAGAAGCAGCTGGAGTTCTCAGTTTCATTTATTCAGCGTTCAGCTTACAGGAAGATGGCTTCAACCTCGCCCAACGCCTCGCAGCCTCTTATATAGGCAACTCCCGGGTAAATGGGTTACTTTTCCCGCGCCAGCACCCGCGCATGCGCACGGCGCTGGCGACAGCCTGTCTAGTCCCGGGCAGCTTTGCACCTGCCCGGGACTGCCTGCAAACGCCCGAGCCGTTTGCAAGGCTCGGGACATAACAGAATCAAGACAGATTTAATTTGAGTTTCTATCTCATGTTTTCCCCTTTCCTTGCTGTTTCCCCCCCCTTAATGCCTCTCTATGCATTCCTGGACTATTTATTTATTTATTTTCATTTCTCTAGCTGCCTGTCTCAGGTAAGTGACTCTGGGTGTCGTACAGTCATAAAAGCAATTTAAAATACAGTATAGCGTGAAAAGAAATACATATGATGGTCAAGGAAAACGATCATAGGTTTCCATATAGTCAGGAAACAGTACCCTTCAAACACTCAGGGTCCCAGACCTGAGCAGTTAACGAGATCTTCAAGGCTTACAAAAAGCCAATAGGGTCAGGGTCATCCTAACTTCTAAAAGCAGAATCCTCCTGAGGCAGTCCCTGCCAGATGACATTCTCCAGAGCTGCTTTGTTTTGTAACATATCAGTTTCTAATTTTTTAAATTAAAATAGACTAAACAATAATAAAGTCAGGAAGCCAGGCAGACATCAAAGAAAATGTGTGCGATTGCATTGGGTGCCCTGTGATATCACAAGGCCTACCTCTGAAATTTAACTTTACTGTAACATGTCATAATTAATCTCTGATTTTATGCTTGGAGAATATACCAGGGTTAAACCAAGAGCTTTTTGATACGTTATGTGAAAAAAGAAGTCATTTTTAACATAAAAATAACTTTGCTTTATGACAGTATGACCACCTAAGTCAGGGGTGTCAAACTGCCAGTCTACAGGCCGGATGCATCATGGCAAAACCATGCCACCCCATTGCCGGCAATGGAAAAAAAGTCACGATACATCATGACACGTCACGTGACGTTGTGAGTTTGATACCCTTGACCTAAGTGGTACAGAAGTGACCTCCTGAGAGAGATACTTCAGCACTTACATCTAGCACAGAAGCGAGCTGTTTGGCTTGGCTGGCTAGCTCTTTCAACTGGATATTTCTTTCCTTCAGAGAAGCAATTTCTTCTTGCTTTTGTGTCAATGTCTCTTGAAGCTGATGGAAATGAATATGGTCAGGTAGGAATCACGAGCACAGACTATCTTATAAAACAAAAGTTGCCAACAACCAAACTTCCCTCCAAAAACTTTATCTTGCTAAAGTGGTTCATTACTTAATTTTAATGAATGGCAGTTAAATTCTAGCTTTTTAACCTACATTTTGAAACTGCACATTAAAAGACCACAACATACAAATCAAAGAAATACTGAAATTGATTTTCAGTAGAAATAAATTTAAAAAGGCATAGTTTTTAAAAATGCTATAGACATATGCAGCTAAAACCAATGCATTTTATTTTCTTAGTAATTGTTCGCTTTGTTTTCAGTGCCTTTGATTCAGTATTGACTCCTGGCAACTGCATTTTTTTTTTTTTTTGCTAGATATCAAAGTGGTTTGCCATTGCTTCCTTCTAAGGACTGAAAGGAAGGTCACTAAACTGGCTTTATGTCTAAGGTAAGACTATGTCTCACAGCTTCTAACTGATGCTTAACCACTACATCAGAGTGACTCTCTTCCTATTAATTACAGTACAGCTTCCATATTTGGGCTACAAAAATCTGCACAAAAATCTGCACACAACAAGACAGGGAAAATACTTTGCTTCCATTTAGATTCTAGAGTTGCCTGGATTTGCTTCATCTCAGTATGATGGTTCTATAATTTTCCTCTTGCTGCAGTGCTCAGTGCTTTGCATCAATACATTACTGTTTGAATGCTTGCTGCTAAGTAAATGCCTAGCCTACTTTTCATAGCCATTCACTCTTCATACCTGATTATTTTCTACAAGTGCATCCCCCAGCGCTTTTTGATTATGATCTGCTAGTTCTTTCCAGTACTGTTCAGTGGGCAAGACACTCTCTAGGCTCAGATGTGAGACCGGATCAATTTGTGCAGGTTTTTGGAGGCAGGGACTGGGGAGGTTTCCATTATCCACAGGGAAAGAAAAATCCAGCAGAGGAGCCATCAGAGGGGAAGTATCTGGAGAAGAATAGGAGTAAAATTATATAGTTGGTTGACTCCATTTATCTTGCTGGCATGTGCACAATTTAGCTGGGGAGCAATTAAGGCTAAATTAAGCACAGAGCAACTAACTCAGAAGTAATGTTGGTGAATCTCAAAAAGCAGCATCAGATTGCAGACAGTTCTTTCCAGAGGTTTGAGCTGTTGTCTTGCATATGAGCATTGAAATTAAGCTACAGGTTATTCAGCTATAGTATTATTAAGCAACTATCCTATTTGGCTTTGTATAATATTTTTTCAGTTTAAATTCCTTCACTGAAAAAGAACCAATACAGATAGTCCTCAACTTGCGACTACAACTGAGTCCAAAATTTCCATTGCTAAGCAAGAATTAAGTAAGTGTTCTTGCCACAGTTATTAAGTGAATCACTGCAGTTATTAAATTAGCAACAAGGTTGTTAACTAAATCTGGCTTCTCCATTGAGTTCGCTTGTCAAAAGGTCACAAAAGGTGATCACATGACCCTTGGACACTGCAACCGTCATAAATACACGCCTGTTGCCAAGCATCTGAATTCTAATCACATGACCATGGGGATTCTGCAATGGTAGTAAGTATGAACAACCATCATAAATCACTTTTTTCAATGCCATTATAACTTTGAATTGTCACTAAATGAATGATTGTAAGTTGAGGACTACTTGTAGACATGAATGTCTGCAGAAGGGGTAACAAACAAACAAGCAAAAAGTTGGCAGCCACAACTGTGTGTCCGACCCCCAACCCTACTTCTTTTATATGTGCTGCACATGAAATTCACCTAAAACAGGGCTTTGATCACATGGCTGCAGCCACCTTTTTTTTTTCTCTCACACCCCTGCTAGTGGAACTTGATTTTTACCCACAGTTAAGTCAAGGGCAGTTGGAAGGACAAATAGATTATAGGGAGAAAGATTATCCTAAACATTTCAGGGATTTGCCACTAGAGGACATCAGATTAGGAAAGCTTAATTTAAAGCAAGTTTCCCTAAACTTAAAAGGATTTTTTTCCCATGAATTTGATTGGAATCACAGAAATACCAAAAGTGGAGAGATCGCCTTGATAAAAGAAAATCATACCTTGCCCTGAAACAGGCAAAATCTACAAGTAGCCACCCATTTACAGGCCTCTAGTTCTTTACTTTTAGTCTAGAATAATTTTAATACAAAAACCACCTAATATAAAGTAAAGCTGTAGTACTTGGTTAATAAGAATTTGGAAGCAATTTAGAGTATTTAATTAAATCTCCTCCATATTTTGGCACAATGATTTTTGTATGTAAAGAAGATGAGCTTAAAAAATATCAGTGCAAACGAAGCATGTATATGGCAGGTATTTTTCAAAATATTTTTTTTTTCATTTATTTCAAGGAAATATGATTTAATGAGATGGCTACATTGTTTATAATATCTATTCTTTCCCCTAGCCTTTTAATAATAATATTAATGTTATACTTGTGGGATGTTCTTTTGAATATTGTCATTTTATGTTTTTTTTGTTGCCATCCAGAATCATATTTTGTAAATGGGCGGCCATATACATATGGTAAATAAAAATAAATAAGCAAGGGCAAATAGAATGCAAGTTTCTTACACACATGACATATGCATGCATGGTCAATGACTGAAATAAATTCTTTAATCAAGTGGTAGGCAGCCCATTGCAGAAATCCATCGAAACATTTCATTTCCTATATGAAATGTTAATTAAACTCTCTGCATACTTGCCAGATAAGAAATTATCCACGGCATCTCGAAACTCCTGGAAATCAAAGTCATCTTCGGGTTGCAAGGAAGGGCTCTGGAAAGTATAAAAGAAATGAGCCAATTAGGGAAACTTTTCTCCCAGAAACACCTTCTGACGTCTTCTTTCCACGCTCAAAAAACATCTTCAGGCGCACCTGCAAATCCACTGGCCACCCCAGGCAGCGAAGGGAACAAGCTCGCACTGACATGCTGGACGGAAAAACAAAGGGCGGCAGATGTTGGACTTGTCACGGCCGTTAAGGGCAAGTGCTGTTGAGGTATTCGCTGCGATACACTAGTTTTCTTTTGGGGGGAAAAAAAAAAAAACAGACGCGAGAAAGTTGAATCCACCGCCCCTGCGGATTTTACGCATAGGCGACCCCCTCACAGGGGATGCTTCTCCCTACGTGCCATATCGTGATCTAATTGGCTAGACGCTCGAGCCAATCACATTCTTCCAAACTGGGCATTCTTCTCAAGCTGGAGGGAAGCGAATCTGCGCGAGCTTCCCTTTCCAGTAGCCCTGGTTAGCTGACTAGGTTGTGCCCAGTGGATCACGTGAACACCGCCCTTGGTATGTGTTGCGCCAAGCTGAGCTGCCACTTTATAAAGCTGCATCTTATAAAATAAAATGGAAAATTAGCAAATTGGCGACTTATCATCTGCCCTACGGATCCTCCCTACCATAATATTATCTAATCTGATTAATTCTGGTTGTGGTGAAGGTGCAAAGTACCAATCTCGTCTAAGATTGCAATCCAATCCATACACTACTTTTCCCTTAGAATAAAACCTGAGGATTCACTTCCTTTAACTTCTGAAAAGCATAAATATTTCTGGCAGATTATTTGCAAAGTTCAACAATACATTGCAGGGTGCAGCTATTTCAAAGGAAACTCAATAGAGTGGATCTAAATCTCAGAAAAGTATATATACAATTGCAGTAAAATTAACTGCCATAGTCTCACACAGACATATATACTCTGACCTATGGTTTGTCTAACTGTGATTTATTGAATAATCCATGATCGTCTAGTTTGTACTTCAGGTGTTCAAGATATAGTTGGTTAGTATAATATCTGAAGCCATAAATTCTAGTTTTTAAACCATGATGGCTATTCACATAACATACAAAAGTCAAAAACAAGCAATCCACATTATGATTTAGCCCGTTATATAGCCATGTAATAAAATGATAGTAGTAAAGTATAACATCTTCCACTTAGTTTTCTAAAAACATTTCCCCATCCCCAAAGTGTGCATGCTGATCCTTGGGCTGATCCTTTAAAACACCAACAAGCAATGGAAGCTTTCTGTAGTATCCCCTCATCACAACTACTGGAAAATTCTCTGCACCTGCACTGAAGCATCCACAGTTCTCATTTTTAGAAATTACTATCTGAAATTCCAATACTTATGTGACATCCTAAATCAATCTGGATTTGTTCTACTTTCCATGTTTAACAATTGTCCACTTGTCAGGAAAGAAATGCTGTTTTGTGCATTAGCAGCAAGAATAAGACTTTTTTAAAAAAAAATGTGTGGTCTCCTTTGATCCAATCTTAACTCCAGATTTCTTGGGTAGTGCCTGTAGCTTTCTCAGCAGTACCATGGGAATGGTTTCCCAGTGCATTTTTCTGGTACATTTCTCAACATCCAAAGATCACCTATGGCACTGGACTCTTCTGATGGTCTCTCATCCAAATATTATCTAGATCAGGGGTAGGCAACCTTGGCTTTTTTATGACTTGTGGACTTCAACTCCCAGAATTCCTGGGCCAGCATGGATTGAAGTCCACGAGTCATAAAAGAGCCAAGGTTGCCATCCCTGATCTAGATAGACCTCCATCACTAACCAGATCAAACACCGCTTAGTTTTTGGAAACAGCCAGTGTCGGCTATCTGCTGCCACCTGGCGGATTGCTAAGGATGAGGTCCAGGTTTCTCAATAAATCTATGTAGGTTAATTGGAGGCCGCTTTCCCTAGTGGGAATGAATACCAAGCACTTGAGTGTTTGGCGTTCTGCAAGGCACCGGGACCACTTCTATCCCAATGCAGAGCTCAACGAGAGAAGTATCCTCCAATGTAGCTAAAATAGCCGGTATCAATGCGCGATTCAAGTCGCGCCTGTTTAAAAGCGCCGGTGGGCGAGGACTATCGATTTACCTGATGAAGAGCCGCGTCTGTAGAAGCTTCCCGCTGAAAGACTGAGGTGCAATCCGCTAAATCTTGCCAATCGATGGTAGCAAAGGCTAAAGGGAAACCACAGACCAATCATAGGAAACCAACTTTAAAGACTGACAGACGTGTACGGGAGGCAGTGTGCAGGGAAAGCTAGGCTTGCGTTTGTGACTCGAGGGGTTTTATTTTGTTTTGTTTTGCTATTGTAGTAGACGATTAGAGCGTCTGTCTTCCAGATCGTTTATTCCTGAATACTTATCAGCTTCAAAAGTTGGGTTTTAAAAAAAACAAAACAAGATATAGGTGGTGAAAGGGGCAACCGTGAGGAATGTGTTAATAAAAAGGTGACTTAGAAGGTCGTTCATATAAACGTGTGTCTGTATGTGAGCGTACAGTGCCTGAACTTATCTTCTAGCTGGAAATGAAGATTGCAAACCGAACTCACCCGCCTCTACTGAGTCCGGAGATGGGTCGTTATGAATAATTATGGGGCAGCTTCTGGGATGCAGGATCTTCCGTGGCACCTGCGGGCAAACAGTTGCAAACAAAAATGTTAATCTTTTTCAGGCAGCCTGAGCATATCTCTCAGCCTCAGGCAACTCAGGGTCCCTTAACTTCTTAAATTGGGCTGCCTGATCTCTGCCCAACAAAGCTTTACTTTTGATTGAGTTTGTATTGTGCAAGGAAATCTTTATCCTCTTTTTAAACTACACATACACGGACACACACACACACACATATACCTATATGATATAGGTATATATCTCCTGTGCTTTCTGTATATTTTACTTATACCATATAGACATAGATAGAGATGATGTATGTAAGCACAGAAAGCAAAGGAACTTGAATTTCTCCCTTTGACAGTTTGCTCCAATATCAGAGCACTGGCCAAGGCAAGAAACTTTGCACATGCCCAGAGATGCTCGCTCCCTTATCAGTGCCCATCTTCGAGGGATTGAACGAGAAATCCAAGTTTTCTCTGGTCCAGACCATGTCCTTGGTTTAACCACTGGGCGACGCTGTCTCTCGCCCTAGAGGGAGCGAGCGAGCGAGCGAGCAGCCGTTTCTCCGGTTCGCGAGGTCTGTCTCCAGCAACGCACCTTTCTCTCTACTTTGCACGGCTTTTTGCCCAACCTGCCAGCCAAATCTTGCACCCTGTTGGGACAGAGGCTGCCACAGGCTTGCCTGCCGCCGCCGCCGCGGCCGGCTCCACTATCGCGCTTTTGCATCGGGACTCGCCGCCCGACTCGCCACCCAGAACGCGTCGACTGATCGGTTGGCTGGAGCGGTCTGGCCGCGGTTGGGGAGCCTGGCCTTCTCTCGTGGGAAGAGAGAGCCGAGGGGAGGCGGGCCGGCTGCCGTTTGAGCGCCAGAGGTGGCGCCTTTACCTTGGCACACACCAGCATGGCAACAAGCGAGCCCAGCCTCATCCCGCCGTCCCTCCTCTTCCAGTCCTTTCCCCGCTCCGCCCGGAGATTAGGCTAGATCGCCACCGCTGCGGCTCGGAGCAGACGTACGAAATTGCGCCCTTTCTCTGCCTCTTGGCGCCCCGGCCAACCGACCAGCGCGGCTGAGAGTCCTTTGTCTTAACTCACCGCAGCCCGATGAAAGACAATCCAAACCTAGGCTCTCAATGTGTCCGTGCCCCTGAACATAGGCAGAGAGCATTTTTTAGCTCCCTGGCCAACAGCCCCGGTCCTGCTCCTATTCCCTTGGAAAGCAATCTCAAGGATCTACTTAGATGCCCATGTTAAGTGTTCAGATTATGCCAATTTTAAAGGCAAGTTAAAAGTTACAAAAGTTTACTGCTGCAGGGTAAAAGCTTCCAGGACACCTTTTAGCTACATCACACACTTACTTGCTTGCTTGCTTGCTTGCTTGCTTGCTTACCTACCTACCTACCTACCTACCTACTCACTCACTCACTCACTCACTCACTCACTCACTCACTCACTTACTTTTTGATTTGATTTGATTTGATTTGTGTGCAGCCCATCTTGCCTAATCTTGGCGATTCCTGACCCAAGGAAACCCAATCACAAAAGCAAAGAATCACTTGAGCCTTTCAGACAAGTTTGACACTTTGGATGAAAGTGATAGGAAGTTGGCAGAATTGCAATCAAAACCATTAGAAATCCCCTCCAGATACAGAAATTCTTTACAGAATCCAAAAAGATAAAACTGGCCAAGGGTGGCAGCCATTCAGCCAAACATTTCTTTCAAGATACCAGAGATCACGCCTATTAACAGAGAAAAGGTCCCTTCCTTTATTAAGCAGGAAGCCAATTTATTCAATGATTTGAGTGGAAAGACCAACAAACTCAACAGTGTACCTAACCACCAAGTAACCCCTATTGACCATCCATCTAATTGCAGTTTATGGTAGTTCCTAGAGGGTGGGCTCTATTTCTGGAAGGAGTAAAGGGGAAGGTTTTTCTATCAAGGTAACTACCTTGGGCCTGTAACTCAGTAGCCTACCTTTCAATTGCTGTACTGCACATTATGGTGTCAAAATAAATTCTGCCTGTGCTCCAAGTAACTTCCCTGAGTGGTCTAGATTTGAACTCAGGACTTTGCTTCTAACCAGCATAACTGGGCCTCTGTTAGGGATATACAAATATTCCAACTCTTAATAAGAATAGATGGCTTATTCATCAGAATGAAATGACAGGGTCTTGCCTGCCTTCAGACAGCAAGAGGAGAGGATAACGTTTTAAAATGCTTTCCCTTCCCCCATTTAAAAACAAATTCTCTCTCTGTAAAAAACTAGCCTGTTTGGCAAAATATTGTTTTGGAATCTCTTTCCCTGATGTACTAGCTTTTTTTCTTTTGTTTTCTTTCAACAGCCATATGCACTGTATGAAAAGGGCATATCTCATTCCTAGTTTGATGTGCTACAGTTCATTTCTTTGTCTCTTAGGAATTGTTATACAGTAAGGATCCTGTAGTAGCACTGCGGAAAATCATTATATTTTGAGGAATTTAGAGACATTTTTTTATTTAGAAAACTAAAAGTTTAGAATTCATTCTAAGCTATGCTTAATCTGCTTGTTTTTCACTCTTGCTTGATAATTAAGGAAAGAGGGGATCTTCACACAACTGGCTTACCTGCATATAAGTCCTTGAAATTACAATGGGCCTACCTCGGGATACTTGCAACCTGGATTTGAAGTTCTGACAGCCAGACCCCCCCCCCTTGTGATTATGAGACCACATGCTGGACACTCAGCAACTGGCCCACACTTATAGTATTTGCAGCATCCCGTGGTCACGTGACCACATTTCACAACAATTTTATTGCAAACCAGCATTTACTTCTGATTTTCTGCAAAACTGGCCTATAGCAAACCATTTAACAACTGAGGTGTTTGCTTTACAACCTCATTGGTCACTTAATTACCATCACTAAAAAGATTGTAAAATCAGATCAGTTGATCACATGGATGACCTAATTTACAACCATCACAACTTAGGACCATGACTGGCAGGCTCCATTATGGTCATAAGTCAAGGACTACTTGTAGTTCTCAGAACTTTTGTTTTCTTTCCCAGAGTTAAGCACCATTCATCAAAGTCAGGTCCTGAAGTCTTCTTATCATAGAAGCAAGGATTTTAAAATCCTATTATTGGCCTTTGAGCTTTGGTACAAGTGTGCATCCTGGCCTTTTTGGGATCTCTCCACTGTTGTTATTGGGACTTCTTATGGCTGAAGGAAGAGAACTTTGCTTGGTATGTTATGCTTTTATGTTTCTGTTTACATTTGCCTACTAAGGTTATTAATGAAGCTCATTGGGGTGCTCATTGTACTGGATTCTCATTGTCTGGCATGTGGCCACTCCTATTACCATACCATACCATGGCCTCTGAAAGTAGCCTAATAAGCTTTCTTTGTGGTGGACCTCATGCTAATGAAAAATTTCAGAAATTTGGAAAGCATTTATTATAGCATCTTTCAATTTGTTGAAAACTCATCTCTTCTTCCCGGCATGAATATTGAAATAATTTTTTTCATTCTCTGTGTTTTATTGATTTTTTTTTTACCATCTTAATAGTATTATTTTATTGTTTTGCTTTTCTGTATTGCTTTGGAATACAGGAAAGAGGGCACATTTATAAACTATTTTTATGAACTATTCTGAAAAAGAAAGATGATTTATTAGCAGGAAATTAACATCATAGTATTGAACTTAATAGGGACAGAAAAATGCAATGCTATTTTAAACATCAGCAATCTTAAAGGAGAGAAATGTAGTGCTTTCTTTCATATGTCCTCAATCATTGTCACTCTTGTTTTACCAGAGCATTGGAAGGTGGCATGGGTGAAAAGAAATTGTTGGGGCTCGTCTGTGTACAGCAGAAAGGGTATCACAAAAGGAGGGAGTGGTAGATGAACACACCCACCCACACCACTTTCTGATGTTTTACAGCACTTTCTTTCTAAGAGATGGCTCCCTTTTCATAAGTTATAAAGGATTCCCCTGTCCACTTGTGTCCAACTCTATGGGATGGTGCTCATCTCCGTTTCCTAGCCGAGGGAGACAGTGTTGTCTGAAGACACTTTCCATGGTCATGTGGCCGGCATGATTATATGCCAAAATGCACAGAACGTTGTTACCTTCCACTGAAGTGGTACCTATTTATCAACTCGCATTTGCACACTTTTGAACTGCTAAGTGGGCAGGTGCTGGGGCAAGTAATGGGAGCTCACCCTGTTGCAGAGCTTAGGTCTTTAACTTGGGCTGTCAATTTTCCAGCTGACAAGCCCACCGTCTTAACTGCTGAGCCATCAAGCCCTTTTATAAGTCATAGTTAGATCCTGAAGCTGCAGTTTCAAACATTACTGATTAAAGGGGAATCTACTTAAGACTTATTTATATATGTAGGACTGCGAACTATATTATGAAATTGCTTCTTTTCTAAGTGCTTCTTGGATAAATTTATCTTTTTCATAAGTGGAGACAGAAAACAATATAACAAATCACAATTAATGATAAAAGCTTTATTAGATAAACATCTTTACAATGTTGTTTTCCTTCTTATGGCTTCAAACTGAACTATCATTTTAATAAATAAAGTACCAGGCATAATATACATTGTTTACAACTCTAAGCTATTACTTAAAATGATGTCAGTGCAATATATGTCTAGTGTGCAAAATAGAATCTGAAATTATCTGTAAAATATTAAAGAATCTGCTCTTTGATTCTTATGGCTAAATCAATACCACAGCTTCTACTAATAAATATAAATACAGTATTAGAGATTATTGAGTAAATATTCAAAGTGAATACTGTTATTTCAGAGGTATTGCAACTATCAGTGATCCTTTTATTTAGGAACTGGAACAAAACAGAAAACATAAACTTCCGAATTCATGGTCCACAAATTTCAAATAGTTTTTGTTGGGTTAACTTATTTTTCTAAGTGCAGACACTGATCTGCAATTTCAGGAGGTAGTACCAAAGGCAAAGAGCCCTCATTTAAAGAGACCAGTAAATGTAACTTGTCCAAGCAGTCTTGCAAAACTCCCTCTGGATAGTCACTTAAGTGCAAGTCCAGCGGTTTCTGGTGCCGCAACATCTGATCAGCCAGCCTCAAGCAACAGACAGCCAACAAGGAAGGCATGTATTTATTAAAGGCATAGTCAGCCAAGCTAAGTTCAGCCACACCTTTTGCTAGAGCTTTGGCATTGTTGGCTTCCCAAGCATCAGCTTCACATGCTTCCATTCGCATATGGGTGAAGTGTTCAAGAAAAAAACTGATGGTAGGAGCTGACAGATTGAACTGAAGCTTGTTGAGAATGATGCATTCCAGATTGCAGAGCTGCTGGCGAGAGAAAGTATCACAACAAAGGGCCAGGAGCTGTTTCACCTTTGGTGGGTGCACTTCAACCTGTAAAACACACAAGCATAGAAAGCAATATGCAGGAATTTAGGCAGAAGATAATATCTTGGGATGCTTCCAGTACTGAATGTTGTTTTTTCCAATGGTTATTATTTTTTGTCACTCTTAATGTCCTTAGCATCAGATATTCTTTTTTTAAATTATATTCATTAGCTGGAAAATCAAAAGATATAATAAACTTATTCAGATTAATGTAAATTTAAATGCTTAATCTTGGCTTAATCTTTTTTAAGATATTGTTTTCTGGAGCTGCAGCACACATCTCCACATAGAGGGAGATTTGATTGGGAAATTATAAACATGGGGATTTAGATATTAAAATGTT